TTTGTTTTTTAATTAGGGTTTCGATACTACCAGTTAATCTTGCTTAAGAACAGTATTCACCTAATTCGACTACCAGTTATCACTACCAGTTCATCACATTGACAAAATAGTGTGAATACAGTTGCTATAGCAAAAAACTCTTCAGCTGTGTTTAAAAAGTTATATAAACCAGTTTGTAAGCTAAATCTCAGGTTGCTTCAACAATGGTAAGGAATCTCGTCTGTGAATTTGGGTGACCAAGATCCGAATGTTCCTTACGAATATCTGAATATCCTCAAGTTTCAGAAAATGAAATGACGTGAGTTTCGGTGTTTCAAAATAGTGTCCCTTGTTTTTAACCGCAACTAAAGTCCCTCAGAGGTAAACTTATACTCAGAAGTATGCCACCAGACTGGCATAGCTTTGTAACTTATGCCTTTAATTTAAACATAAAGTACTTTCATGCATCCATTAAATTTGGAATAATGGGGAAAACTTGTTTTCTCCCTATCCGTTTTAACTGAACTTCTGACAACGAAGATATCTACACAATTCAAACTCCATAACCAATCTGTGACTCACAAAGTAGGTGAGTTCTCTGTCTTTGCACTATTCCTTAGTGCGATTATCCCACCCAAGCTATAAATGGAAGCAGATGTCGAAGTTGTGTGGTCGGATAAAAGAAGTAGATGAATGCAAGAAGTGTGGCATATAAATGCCTGGTTAAATTACCTTCACGATTGAGCAGTTTTCTCACTCCCTTTTCACTTCACTGCTGGTTGATCCCGATTATGTTCAATTTCACAACGACTCCTCTTTGCCGACCGGTTCACTTGAGCACACATGGACAGAGGTGGAGCTGCAGAGGTCGGGGTGGAGTTGTGTGAAATGAGCCGGCCGATAAGAGACACGTGGCTACTTGTGCGTGAATCGGCAAAGCTGGCCAGTCGAACGAGAGCTGAGAGGGAAAAGCACACTCTTTTGGTTCACAGGTGACGCAATCAGGCGAGTCGAGCAATCCACTAATGCATGGAGGGGCATCCGTGCGAAGGGACTGGCTGT